TTAAGGCTGAGTCTCGGGAGGAGAGCAGGTGAGCTCAGTGCAGGTTAAGGCTGAGTCTCGGGAGGAGAGCAGGTGAGCTCAGTGCAGGTTAAGGCCAAGTCTCGGGAGGGGCTGGGAGAGGGGTACTTACCGCATTCACTAAGAGGCCAAGGGATGCTGCAGATGCTGTCGGGAATCAAGCTGCTGGCTCCACAAGACACCTGACCTCCTGTAGGGCTGCTGTGTTTTACGAGCAGACAGAGCTGTCTGGGAGCATACCCATTCTCACAGTCAGAAACACAGGTGGAGAGCTTGAACACAACCCAACTCATACAGTGAAGTGTCTTTTCCTCTGTGCTTTTATTTCACTTGAACAACCTTTACATTTACAGTATTATACAGTTGTGTTATTAAATTAACATACACATCGTGTGAGTTTTATAATAGGGATGTATGTCTGTGTGTATTGATGAAACCCTTGATGATAATTCCTTCTGTTCATCATGTGCTTATTTGAAATATTTTCATCAGTGTACCTTCAGTAAAGGTACAGTTTCTGATTCACTTACACTGAGATTTTTCATTTAGCAATGTCTGACTTTTGTTCCTGACCTTTAACGTTTTCCATAAAACATTTTACATCTCCAAATGTACCCAGTTTAATTTACTCAGTTTTCCCTGTGCTGAAGTTCACTGCATGTCAAATTTACGAAACGATGGTTCTGTCAGTGAGCTGTACTGCAGACAAGGCTTGTCTACCTGTCTGAATTAGTCCTCGTTAGCGGAAGCACCAGCCCCTGACTGATCACTGTCCTATCATCCTCCCAGCTCATCACCCCACCTGCTGGAGCAGAGACCCCAAGAGTGCTCTGCTGCTTTAGCAGCCCTTTCCCTGCCTGAACACCAGAGGGAGACAGAGACAGCTGACCAGGTGACAGACAGTGTTCCCAGAGACAGAGAAGGAGACGCTGTGAGCAGAGGAACAGTCAGTTTAGAGCTGGACCTCTGGGCTGCTGTCCTGATCCTCCTCTCTGTAATAAAGGAGCAGAGCAATTTTCATCATAATCACCCATCTCGCATCAGAAGCCTGCTTCTCCTGGTAAGGATCATGGCAACATGGGGACTATCCCAGAAGCTGAGAGGATCAAGTGAGACTGCACCCTAGACTGTCACAGACGCATGTGAGTGTGTACACAGGCAGTGGAGTGGGCACAGGGCGTCCACAGGGGGCACAGGGCGTCCACAGGAGGTAACGGTATGGGGAAACATGAAGACTCTCTCAGCAGGATTACCCTCCTCCACTGGACTCTGTGTTCAAATTGAGATTCTTGGTACATTTTATTAGTATATTGACCTCCTCCATTCCTCTCCACCAACCTGTCGATCTTCTCCAGCAGCTCTGCCACCTGACTGCAGTCCTCTGGATTCACATTGTTAAACACATGATAATGATCACAATTCACGCAAGCTCTTGCCTGTGGTCTGACCAGCAGTTTCTCGTCTCTCTGCAACAACTTGGCGACCATACAGTTCTTGCACAGAGCTCAGGATTTTACACTCAGTTTGAATTTTGTAACCTTTGTTGTCGAGAATTAATATTCCATCGGAGAAATTAGTACTGCAGTTCCCTTTAATACATAATAATAGGGACTCTGTGTCTCTGTCTCTTCTCACTGCACTCTGCACTTCTCTGCTACTTTTTTCAGTTTCTCTCTGTTGACTATCACAGCTCCTGCTGCTGCCCCTGCAGCCAGTCCTGCTGCTGCTCCTACTGCTACTCCTACTGGCCCCCCCAGTAATCCCACTGCTGCTCCTATCCCTGCTGCTCCTACTCCTGCACCAGCCACAATACCCAATCTCCGCAGAAATGAGTTGTTTCTCTCTGCTCGATCTCTGGCGTTCTCCTCAAAGAGAAGCCTTTCCTCATCTGAATGCCAATCCCAATTCTCCTCCCTCAGGATTCTCTCCTGCTCTTCCCTGATGGCCCTCTCTGCTTCCTGGTACATGTCATTGGTGAAGTTGCTTCCTCCGTTCTCTCTCACCATCTGCTCTATCTTGTTGATCAGAGCTGTGACCTGGGAGCGGTCTTCCTTATTCTTATTGTTAAAGACATAGTGTCTATTGTTACATTGTTTGACAAAGTCATTGAGGTTTTTGTTTTCCTCAATATAACTCTCAATAGTTATTCCACTCAGTGTGTCTCCATGTGTGAAGAGCACCATGGTGTATTTACAGACTCTCTCTCCAAAGGTCTTCTGGATCAGCTTCACTGTGTCCTTCTCCTGCTGTGTGAATCTGCCCAGCTGGAGGACCACCAGGAACACATGGGGTCCCGGGGAGGACAGAGATATAGACTTCGCTATCTCATCTGTGACCTCGTCATTGGACAGCTCTGTGTCAAACAGGCCTGGAGTGTCGATCACAGCAACACTCCACGCCTCCCTGACACCTCTCCTGTCCTCTTCTCACACTGTTTAGTCACTGTGTAGGGAGAGCGCTCTGATCTGAACGCCTCTCTGCCCAGGATGGTGTTTCCTGCTGCACTCTTCCCCGCTCCAGTCTTCCCCAGCAGCAGGATCCTCAGCTCAGAGTTTTGTCCTGATGAGAAAACATGAATGATTGTGACTCATGTTTGCTGGTGTCCTCATGCCAGTCAGATGTTGGCTGATAAATTGAAATAGAACAGTTACAGCTGTTCAGGGATGTGTGTGAGTATTACTGTCAAACTGTTTTACCAAGAAAACATACAGATG